GAAGGGATTGTAGTTGGCGGACAACAAAGGTCGGAAGAAGGCCGGTAATGGTTGCCAACTGGAGGTCAAACGTCAATGGTCGGACAAAGGTCAAACAGTGGTGCCCTAGTGCAAGAATTCGTTGGTGATTGTGTTGTGGTGGAGCTTCAGGAAACTTCAAGCCTCAAAGCTCTTTTGAGTCTCTAGCGTAGGGTCTAAGACTCATAAAGTTCAAGCCCCTTTGCTTTGAGAAGATGAGGTCTATTTATAGATTTTGAGAGTGACATGCTCCATAAATATGAAGAATATTCAAGGAAAATTCATATTCATAGTGCTCCATCGAACGGTCCAAAATGATCCCTTGATCATGGATTGTTTGTCAAGATTTTATCTATTTTAATGATGTCAGAATTAAGATATCTTAGGCTTGTTGGATTTGTCTGGTCGAGTCGCTAGATTTGAATATAAGCATGCCACATTTAGAGTATATTTATTTATCTAATTAATGTTTTGAAACTTTCAAACATACTTCGATCCCTTTATTTGGACCCATATGGACTTAGAATGGACCAATTTTAGTGTTATTGGGTTCGTTTCCTTGAGACGTTCAATTTGATTATAAGTTTACTTAATTCGGAGTTTGGATGGTACCAAATTTCATTTTTAGATGTTTCTAATTCATTATGCTTCAAGATTCGTGCTTAATTAAGCAAATTTTTTTATGACATATCAGCTGTCATCTATTTTTGGACGTAGAAGCATGTAGAGTATGAAAAAATTAGTTAGTTACCATCAAATATATAATGAATTCAATTAGACAAGTTTTCATAAATTTTTTAAAATTATTCAATTATATGATTTCTATAAAATTATGAAAATTTAAAACTTTTCACATAAACAACAATCATTCACAAGATTTTAAAATTAAAAGTAAAATATCATTGGTCATAATTTTAGCATTTCTCAAAGTTTTTGTATTGATTGGAGCAAAAATTATCAAAACATTAAGCCAAAGAACTCCCAAAATAACTCTAATTTGATTGTAGAGGCTATGTTGGTCTCTGAAAGTATCAAAATTGAGTCTAAAACAAAATAATATTGCCCCAAACACCAAAAATATATCTGAATGGAGCTGTCCAAGCCAAAATCAGGCCTGAACGTAATTTAGCGGGCCAGCCACCGTCAATGCTCCGGCAGGCCACCCACATACGGGTCCGCGTGCGCCACTTGCAAGCTCAAGGGGCGTGTATTGGAACCCATGCATTTATTTATTTTTTTTTTATTTTTTTAGCTAAATTATTTACATTTTAAAATTCTTCAAAAATAGTAAAAAAATTAAAATTTATTAAAAAAAAATTCAGAGCATTCTTTAGAAAGGAAATGATTAAATTAATGTATATTTATTTATTTTTAATTAAATATTTTCCATTTTTATTTATTTTTTAAAAAGGAAAATATTATTTTTGATTTTAAAATTTTCCAAAAAAAAAACTCTAAAAAAATCTAGAGAAAAAACATCCAAACTTGGCCCCCTCATGTATCTATAAATACACTCTTTGGAAGGGCAAATTATTGCGTCCGGTGTCCGGATTCATCCAGACATCAATCCAGACGTGCCACATCAGCAAAATACACCGGGCCAAATGTATTTGAGTGACGTGGCGCATCCCGATTGGTTGTCCGGATGTCAGGTGACCAGATGCAATAATTCGCCCTTTGGAAGAGGGGTAAAGAGCACGGTTCTCTTGAGCCTGTCTAATGTAAGCGGAGACTTGCAAAATTTTGGAGGTTGTCGACACTAGAAAAGGTATGGTCTGTTGGAGCAATCTCCGAACCTCATATGTAAAAGGATGTCCCATTTTTTTTTTTTTTT